GAGACAGAATTCAGCATGAGAGATGCTCTAGTGTATATGGGTATTCATGATGCATTCACAACAAACGCTGATTTCTCGTCGATATCGAACGATCGCGATGAGAATCTCTTCCTTTCCGGCATCTATCAGAAAACAATATTTGAGGTACGCTATCACCATCCAATGTGTTCTCTCATAATCCCAAATATTCACATTTTATTGAGAAGTTTTCAGAGTGGATCATTAAAATAGCGAAAAAAAAAAGAAAAGAAATGAGTTACAGATTAATGAGAACGGTACAATGCCATCGGACGTTCGAAGACCAAATCTACGACCGCTGAAGAGAATGCTTTGGCAAGGCGGTCATATCAAGTTCATCGCTGACCATCCGTTCTGGTTTGCGATTGTCAAGCAGAATTTATTCTTGTTTATTGGCAGTTTCACTGGATGATGTTAACGATTGTGATCACCACATTCATTTGTGTGTTTTCACTCTCTTATTAGCTTGCAGTCTGTTTATTATCCCATTGTTATTACCGTTGTTATGCAATAGAATGCACTGATTACAGTTCATCATTATTTTTTGCGAGGTTATCCTCATTTCTGTTATTCATAAAATTATAAGAAAGCGCCGTCTAAGGAAGCATTCTAAGTTCCAGTTCTCTTCCCATGAGTAGTTACTCATTAGAATCATTCCGCATACATGTGTTCAACGGAGCTAAGCCTGTGAACTCATTCACTTTTAGTTGAATGAATCAGCAAATTTTCTTTTATGAACATTTTCAGATTACTTTATTGTGAATACAATGTAATTGTTTCGAATACAACACAAACATTTTTACATTCTACGTAAGAAGAATAACACAAAACAATAATATTATACAATATACACACAAGTGAACTCAGTACAAATAATTTCTCATCAGTAGTGTGGTCGACTGCTTCATATGGTAAAACGACGAGGAAGCGAATGGGAATGAAACAACTGATGAAATTAACTAAAACTTCTTGTTAGGAGAATAAATTGTGCACAACGCCTGTGATCGCAGTGCTTTTTTCGATGAATTCCATTTCCTTTTCAAATATGAGATCACTGATTTTTTTCTGCAATCGAATTCCATCCGCAGGTGACATCTGATAGACGAGTCGCAGTTTTGACTCGATCGTTCGCGCTGAAAAACGCTTATCGTTATCAGTGCTAATGATGAAGTAATGACAAGTAGCACTGAATAGTGAAGAAACTTAATATTGAATCAATCACACTAATGGAAGATCTGATACGTTTCGATTAGAATGAAACTTTAAAGTACCAAAACACTTCTAGAAGGCGTTCGCACGCAACACTTTATTGAGAAATGTGTGATGAAATCAAAATTTGACTAATTCCTCACGCGCAATTCAAAAAACCTCACGTCAGTCTCTGATATAAGCTAATGAACTGTTAAATATAAAACATTTTGCAATTCAAAAAGTAACGTTCGACGTTGGCGTTTACAATAAATAAAACTGTCTCTCTACGATAACATTCCACTGAATTAAACGAGAATCTGATTGAGCCAAAGAAATATTCCCCTTCAGATGGTGAATAATGCAAAAATCAGTCACACTAAAGAACTGGCCATCACTAACCGAAGTGTGTGAATTGATCGTCGGATTGCACTTTCGGCAAAATGAATTGCTGCGGTATCAAGTGATTACCAGTGCAACCATTGCTGCTATTATTAGAGTTGTTGCTGGTATTATTCGTGTTATTTACATTACAGCTATTGATATGATCATAATTGATGACTCGTTTTGATGATGACGGAATCAGATCGATATCGATCAGGTCAAGATTCGTTGCAGACGATGGACGCACAATGCTACTACTGTTCAGGTGTCGTTTCCTATCAATACTGTAGCAATTACTGTTGCTCGTGGTGCTGTTTTCACCGCTCGACGATACACTTGCCACTGTGTTCTTGTCGTCAGACTCACGTTGGCTATCCATTTCGGGCGTTGATTGATGCTCTATCGATTCACTCATATTCTCGATCGGTACTGATGATGACGACTGAAGACTCTCTAAGGCACTTGCTAGTGGCAGAGTTGATATTGTTGCCGTTACTGTTGTCGTATTATTACTACTGGTGGATTCATTATTGTTCTGACTNTGTTGCCATTATTCGCGGTAGTGTTTTGCTTGATGGATGAAGAGGATGGCGTTGACGAGATGTGTTGATAGTTGGAGCTTTCTGAATGGGAATAAGGTTGAGTTGACTGCGATGCCTCGCATATGGACGAGATTGATAATGATGTACTGAAATGACTTGATTACAATCATAATAAGACGGATTTCACAACGATAGCATCGATAACTGTAATAGTAATGCTAGTTATGATCATAGAGAATAAGATAAGCTCTCACTCTGTCCAATAGGTGGAATCCTTATTGAAATCGACACTATCCAAAAACAGTAAATGATCGTAAAATCGCCACTGATCTTTGCCCGTTCGTTTGGCACGTCGAAACTGGTCACGAAGCATATTCCACTGCCGCAGTAATTCATTCTCTTAAAATTCAACAACGGAGTGATTTCAAATGAATTTATTGGTAATAGTTATGAACAAATATTAGCAATAACCAACCAGTGACTCGGACAGCATAGATGATACTCATTTTCCTCGCGATTTGTGACATTATGACTTTCTTCCATCGATGGCAACGATAGTTCTTATCTTTTGGATTCCATAAGCATTCGGATTGACAAAACTCTCTGATCAGCGTCTCTTTCATATTATCACAC